GGGGTCACCTGATTGCCATTTGCAATCTTCCCAGCTGGCTTCTGACAAGCAAAGCCAATGGGGGAAGCCGAATTCACTTAACGACCACGGCAAAAAGGTAGTAAAATTGGGCATGATTCACTTAGCTCCTGTCCCAATTGTGGTTGTAAGTCGAGGACTACCTGTATATATATCTCTCCTCTCCATCTAGCCTACAAACCCAAAATTTTATTTTTATTTATTTATTTGTTTATTATTTCAATATACATGGCCGCCCATCTCAGGTTCATGACTCTGGCAGCTAACGGTGTTAAAAATGCATGGGCTCAGCCCCACCTCCTGACCCCCAGAATCAAGTCTTTAAAGCCTTACAAAAGGCCGACAGGGTTGGAGCCAATGTGATCTCCTGGTGGTCTCCCAACCAAGCCAAGAAAAAACCTCCAGCACCAACCAACATACCAGTCTGCTTTCTTCAAGCAGTCAACAGTGGCTCCCTGTTCCAGGAGATATGAAACGCAATCTGGGTGGCCCATGGAGGCAGCTTCGTGGAGGGGACGCTTGTAGTCTCGATTCACCAGCTCAACGTCCATTCCCACGGTCTCGGCGAGGTAACGCAAGATATCCAGCCTGCCGTGCCTGGCTGCAAAGTGGAGAAGCGTGTCCCCCAACTTCCCCCAATGCTTCTTTCTCATGTCCCTGTCCAGGTCGGGCACTTTTTCAATCTCTTCCTTGAGAAGGGCAAACATCCCTTCCTGTATTAACCGGGGAAAGGATTTTGGGAGTTGGCCTTCCTCCATCGCTGGTCGTGGAATTCAGAGCTCCGGAGGGGAGGACCTAAATCACACACACACAGAGCCCCCCCCCAGTTGCACAAGAGTCAACTCAGCATTGTTCGTCTGCTTTTATCCTAAACGTAAAAGCACATCAGGCCTTTCATGTTCAGACAGCTGCTTTCTTATAAAAGTACAGTAGTCCCACATCTGGAAAACAACTGGTAGCATCTTTTCTGGTGAACCAATGTTATTCATAGGCATAAGCTTTTCTAAACTGCAGAAGGAGCCTAGGAGCACCTTTGCCGACTCACGCATTTTATTCCAAAGCAGATCCCGCTTTGGAATAAAATGCGTGAGTCGGCAAAGGTGCTCCTAGGCTCCTTCAGATTTTGGGATGCCGTAGACTAAGAAAAAATAGATTTCTTCCCACTTTTAATTAATCTGAATTCATAACGCAAAGAAAACATGTGACCATAGGCAATGGTCCCGGGGTGCGTGTCATGACATCGCATACATCTTGACACCATCACTGCAATGATGTCCAAACCTACGATGTCATGGAGGCTTCTCCCAAACTCCTATCCTCTGCATTAAAGCTGCTGGGACATTTTTATCTCTAAGAAAACCTTTGTTTTTCTTTTGAGATTCCTGCAAAGAAGGACTCGGTTCGGTTTCCCTCTCTGGCCGCCCTGCAGTTTAACGGCAAAGAGTCCTGCTCTCGTTTCAGAGTCATGCAATTCTACATCCCTTTCCATCCTGTCTCCAAGCAGGACTGCAATAAAGAAATGAATGTGATTAAGATGGAAGAATCAAACAAACTAAAGCAAATGTTAAAAACATAGCTATTAGAAAGGTGGTGTGCAAGGGAAGGTAAGCAAAAATGAAACAGGATTGTTCAGCTTTCTTGGCCCACACAGAAGGCTCTGTCTTGATGATTTTGCCACTGTTTAAAGCTGCAACAGGACAATTAAAGCGCTAACTGTTCTATGGTAACACATATGGAACAAGTCTGTTTAGCCTGAAAACTGGAAAGATCAGGGTACTTATCTGACCAAAGAAAGAGATATAACAGAATGTGCAAATTACCAGAATACTGAATTTTTGCTTACAATCTTACAAAGAGCAAAACAGCCGTGCAAGGGGCAAGAAGTGCCAAATGAAGCAGTCGGTTTCAGAAAAGCGATTAGAACAAATCCAAACCGATAACAGAGAGATCAAAAATAGACCAGAAGGAAGTTTACCTTTGATCAGATCTGTAACGATAAAGCAGTCTGTCAGGAAATCTGCCTCGGATTTGAGAGAGCTAAAGCATAAATATCAAAATAGAAGAGAATCTGATCTCTGCAGATGATGCGGTGTGTGGTTTCTTTCAGCCCTTCAAATCCTTATCTGCTTTCTGCACTTGGCACACGGACCCGTTTGATAGGGTAAGATGCTGCATCTTCAATTCAAAACTAAAAGGCAAGAAAAGAAGTCAATATCAGCACAAGAACGTGATGCATGGAAGGGAGGGAAAAGGTAGGCTTACAGTATACAAATTTACAAAGATCTGTAGAAACGATTAGCATTATTTGCACAACTGTCAAAATATGAATGTACTCCACTAAAGAAACTGAAGCTTTAAATGATGCAACAAATAATCCTACAACATTCAGGGAAATTTTGTTTTTTTTTAAAAGAAAAAGGATCTAACTCAGATTTCTGGAGAATGCCACTTTCCTGATTCAGTAAGACACCATCACCAGTCAGTACACATGGGATGGGCACAGCTTTACCACTGCAAACCTTTGCATTAAATTGCTTTTTAAAGAGCACCCTTTCTGCAACACACCCTGATGGTGCTATATTACAGCTACATCAGATAATAGCTATTCATTTTCCAGGATAGAGAATAACTGTGCAAACACACCCACGTATTCAGTTAAAGATTAATATAAAGGTTAGCCTGAAATTCATAAGTATCTGGCTAACTTTTTCTGGGCTCAGAAACTAAGTACAGTATGGTCAGGTGGGGTCAGTACATGGGTGGGAGATCACCAGGAAATTCCCAGGGCTGGACGCTTGGTGGGGAAGTACAAGAACTTCCTGGAAGAAAAAAGTGGCAGACCATTTCCATACTATTGGCAGGAAAGAGATGTGGACGTGTCCATGAAGTCACCAAGAATCAAGATTGACTCAAAGAAGACTTTCTTGCCCAGATAGAGGACTGCCTCTGGCTGACTTTGGCAGCTCTCAAAAGATAAGTCCCATTGGACTGGTTAGTAGTTGGATGCAAGACCACCAAGTGATCCTTGGCTGAAGGCTAGACTAGAAAGTTGAAAAAGGATTTGGTAAGAAGACACTGATAAACTACTACAGTATGAGGAAGTATTGAAACTAGATGGATATTATTCATGTGACCAGCAGCTAAGCTTGACTCAAAAGAGTCTTTCATTGTCAGCTCTGAAGGTGTAAATGACACTATTATATTTGCATTATGTTAATTATTTTTTCCTAGTAAATGCTGTCTGTGCAATTAAATGATCGCAGTGAATTGTTCATACGATCATGCATTAATCTCATTAGGAAATCTTGGGTTTCTACTGCAATACTAAATTCAAACAAATCTGAAGAAAATTAGGCAAGCTTGCAGCTATTTGATTATTCAGTTTAATTCCTGGGGAACAGACGCATTAGCTGTTCCTTCTACAAAAAGAAGGAAAAAGGGGATTCAATAGACAAAAGAAGAATTTATCTTGGAGAAAAGTTTTGGGAAGCTTCCAGCACCAGATATAAGTATTTCTCTATGACTGTAACTTTTAATTGCAATTATAAACTGCTTTCGTTTTTATTGTGTAATTATTGTATTTTATTACTGCATTGGTTTCGCCCCTTGCTATTGTACGCTGCTTAGAGTCAATTTGCTGAAGCAGTCTTTTAAATACAAAATAGTAATAAAAAGTGTTTCATCATATGTTTTGCAATGACCGAGCGCTTTATTTTGATAAATGGAAGCCTATTGAGTCACAGGACGAACGAGGCAACCGATTCTCAGCAAAGACGGTACAGTCCCATGGCGTTTCAGCCTTGCAGAAAACAAACAAAAATGGGAAACAAGAAAAGAGGCCTCACCTGTTGAATTTGCCACTTGCAACTCTTCCCAAAAGTTCAAAACCTCCACTTTCACCCCACGAGGTACCCCTTGAGGTATTGGGACTGCAAAGCTGATAGCCAGGACAGAAATATTGGCTGAGGATGATGGGACCTCTAGTCCAACACTGCCAGGGAGAGTGGGGCTGGCACAAAGACCAACCAACCCACTTAACCATTTATAATGGTTTATAATAATGATAATGATAATAACAATAAATATTAGCAGGGAATTTTAAAGGAGATTTAAAGGAGACTCACTATCACCGCTACTGCTTGTCATTGCATTGATTCCTCTGTCAACGATACTGAACAAGTCAGGCCATGGCTATCAAACATCAGAAACATCTGCCAGGCAATCCCACCTCCTTTACATGGATGATCTGAAGCTGTATGGAAAAACACCCTCTGAAATGGAATCGCTGCTCAACACTGTCCGAATATACAGCCACGATATTGCAATGGAGTTTGGATGGCAAATGTGCCACCCTGACAATCAGCAGGGGAAAAAGAGTGAAAACCGAAGGAATCAAGATGCCCAATGGAAGTAACATCAAGAGTCTGGATGAGGGAGATCACTACAAATACTTGGGCATCCTTCAGGCTGACAACATTGAGCACACTGAAGTCAAGAAGAAGGTTAGGAGTGAACACATCAGAAGAGCGAAGAAGAGTCCAAACTCAGTGGAGGAAATACCATCAAGGCGATTAACACCTGGGCAATTCCAGTCATTACATATACACTTGGAGTAGTGGACTGGACTCAACCTAAACTAGAAGCCCTGGGTAGGAAGACCAGAAAAAGAATGAGAAGGAGCCAGGCCCTTCCTCCACGCAGCGATGTTGACAGACTCTACTTGCCAAGGAGCACAGGTGGGCGTGGAATGCTGCAAGTGCCCAGCCAGCTGAA